ACTGCATTTTCAAGTGTGTTCAGATGAGGTAAACAGTAAGTGATTCTCGTCCAATAACACTGCATGTTCAAATCTGCACTTTCAAGCTCTCTGAGATACTATATATAATATTTGGGAAATCTTGGAGAACGGGAAGTGCCAGACAACTGGAAGAGTGATGACGTGGTCCCTTTCTACAGGAAAGGGAAGGAAGATGAACTGGGGAACCATAGACCAGTTAGTCTAACCTCAATCCCTGGGAAATTATTGGAGCCAATCATTAAAAAATCAGTCTTTATGAACCTTGAAGAAAATGCAGTGATAAGCAGAAGCCAGCATGGATTTCTTAAGAACAAGTCATGCCAAACCAACCTAATCTCATGCTTTGACTGGGTTACCACCCAAATGGACAGAGGAAATGCAGTCGACATTATTTTCCTAGATTTTAGCAAAGCCTTCAACAAAGTGCCCGGCAGCTTCCTAGTGAAGCTTGGCAAAATGTGGACTTGATAGTACTACTTTCAGGTGAATTCACAACTGGTTTCAGAAGAGGTCACAGAGTGACCATCAATGGTAGCGTCTTCCATCAATGGAGAGAAGTTACTAGTCAAGTATCACAGAACTCAGTCTTAGGACCAATACTCTTCAACATCTTTGTTAATGATCTTGATGAAGAATCCAGGGAATGATAATTAAATTTGCAGACAATACTAAATTGGGTATGGAAAACAAAAAGATGCTCCAGGGAGACATAGACAAGCTTAAACACTGGGCGTAAAACAATAGAATCAAATTCAACAGGGACAAATCCCAAATCGAGGCAAGAAAACTGTATCAATACAAGACGGGGAACACTTGGCTCAAGAGTACTGAGAGTGAAAGGGATCTTATAGAGTTGCTGTAGGCAGTGAGCTAAACATGAGCCAGCCATGTGATGCAGCCACAAAAAAAGGCAAACACTATTTTGGGATGTATAAACAGAGGCATCCCTTCTAGAAATAGAGATGTATTCATTCCTATTACTCTGCATTAGTCAGACCTCACATAGAATACAACATTCAGTTTTGGGCACCCAGGTTTAAAAAGGATGCTGATAATCTGGAAAGTGTTCAGGAAAGGAAAACAGAGATGATACAGGGCCTGGAAAATAAGTCTTACGATGAGAGGCTGAAAGAACTGGGCCTGTTCAGCCTTGAGAAAAGAAGACGATGAAGTGACATGATAGCACTCCACAGGCACCTCAGAGGCTGTCACAAAGAAGAAGGAAAAGACCTTACTCTCACTCTCTAATGAGAAGGATAGAATATTAATGTATATCGAGGAGGAGGAGATTTTTGACCATCAAAGGTCAGATCGCTGGAGCGTTTGTGCAGGTGCCTGCAGGAATTGGACCTGTGCAAATGCCATTCAAGGGCTGTCCTTCTTCTGCACATGTGATTGGAGAGAGAAGCCCAGTGAAAAGAAGAGAGCTGGATTCCACAGGGTCCAGGAGATCCCCTCCCCCCCAAAAAAGCGGCCGCACATTTCACAAAAGAGGACAAGAGTGGACATCAGTTTCCATAAGATTTCCATCTGATTGGTTTGTATTTACAAATGCAAATTAAATGTAACAAACAGAATACATCTCATCATAGTGTGAAAAACTGTGGCTACCTCTGCGCCTGCCCTTTACCAGTTGTCTGGTTGCTAACTAGTGGCAGGGAAAAATTCTTATGGTTCTTAATTTTTAAACCAGAATTGGACAGGGCTGCCTTTCAAATAAAGGAATCTTCTCTGTAAAAGAGGACACATTCCACCCCAGTTCTTGTTGTTTGCCAGGTACTCCTCCCTTCACTAATTCAAGGCAACAGCCTGTTTCTTTGCAAAAAGCTCTCTATTCACCAAAAGACACCCACCACACCCAACTCTCACAGAATGGATGTTTGTGCATGCACAGAGTGGTTTATTCAATCCCATCTGAACAACTACTTCTGGAAACCCACCTTCTGAGTGCATCTGGGCCTCGTCCCTTCTGAAGGGCCCGTTTGGAAGCAGGCTCGCCTGCAACTTTTGTATACACCTATTCCCTAGTTGGCTTGCACTGCTTTCCAATGCTGAGACATGGGATCAAGAGTAGTACCAGGTTTGTCTGACTCTGAGAGCTGCTCTTCACACCCCCGCCAACACCTGCACACCTTGGCTTTTCTCAGAGCCTGCTTGGGCAGAGTGACCTTGAGAGAAGCACCGCTTCTGTCATCTCAGAGTCTGGAGCCCCACATGCTGGAGATCCCTCCGCCTCCTCCCCTTCATCCTCCCCTTCATCCTCTGTCTCAGAGTCCAGATCAGCATGACCCGTGAGTATGTGCCAAGAGCAAGCGCTACACTCCTTCCCAACAGTTCTGTTCCTGGAGATAGTCTGTAGCCAATCATAGCTAGTACCCCTTGGTAGTCTTATCCTTCATGGATTAAGCTAGGGTGCAATCCTTGCATGTTTGCAGGGAAAGGCCTGGGAAAAGCTGGCTGGAACATGCTACAAGTTGTGGGGCCTTTTCCCCCTGCGTAACACACGTGCCATTGTGCCCTGAACCCCTTCAAAGCCATGTGGATTGGTGGCCATTTCCATATCCTGTCAATTACTGTTCGTTCAGTTGGAAATGGGAAATAACCAAAGCTGCACTGGGACCCCTTTGGCACCATCCCCGGCCAGCGGGTGGGATTTGGCACAGATCATTCCCTGGAGAGGTTGGAGGGGCGGACACAAGTTGAGGTTCCAGTCATTAATATTCCCATTTTATAGATGGGGGAATTGGATCTTGGAGAGAATGACTTGCACACTGTGGCCTGGACCACCCTGAAAGTTTTGTGGCCGAAAAGGGAGGTGAATTTCTGTCTCAGTCCAATGCATTATTGTTCATGACACCACATTGATTCTGACCTGAAGAGTTTGGGAAATAAAGCAGGACATGGCAGTTTTGTTCTGATGGCTGAAAATGTGCCGCACATGTCTGCAAAAATGCTCAGATTAGGCGGCAGTTGGGCAAAGGCGTTCAAGGCCCGGGTTGTGTTTCTTCCACTGGTGTGCTCCCATTCTCTTCAGGTCACGTTCTTAAAGGAGTGATATTAAAAACCTGGGTAAAGACTCAGTCTGGCTACGTATTCTCCCATTGCCTAAGCCAATAACATCCGCTGCTAAGGGAAATGAGGTAAGTGACAATATTACTGTCCTTGTAAAAGGGCAACAGGAAAGCTTTAATGTTCCCGGTTGCAATTTCCCTGCCTTGGGCTGTCACCCCTGAGCCATAAATTGTGGAAGGAGAGAAGTTTTCCGGGGCAGAGCTCGTGGGTCTAGAGATGGGGTTGGCTCACATGCTAAATTAAAATGGATTTCATATTTGACATGTTTTAAATGGGTGCTTGCTTGCACACTGAGCTTTTAATGGCTTGGTTCTGTGATGAAAAGTCCTCTGCAGCTCAAAAGCCCATTAATGGCTCTTGCTGTGGCCTAAGGAGACAGAAGCCTTCTAGAAACGGCTTTGGAAGAGGACTGGGCATGCTCAGGGAGCCCCTGGAGTCATGGCGTCCTGAGTGTCCCTTGGGAAAGTGGGCAGGGGAGAAGAAATGTGGTTTTCATGCCTGTTACAATAACCTTCCCAACCTGGTACTCTTGAGAATTTGTGGCCTACTACTATCACCCTTAGGAAAGGCTGGCTTGTTAGAGAGCAACCTGAGAACAAAACAAAGCCCTCCTGGATCAGACTGGAGGTGCATCTAATCCAGCACTCTGTACACACAGCAGCAAATGAGCCGCCCACAGGGTCCCTCCAGCAGGATGGGCGCCAGACCTCCTCCTGCCCAAGCTCCTCAGCACCTGGTGCATGCAGGCATGCTGCCTCTGTAAAGGAGGCCAGTAGCCGGAGGCCAGTAGCCACCAGTAGCCTCCTCCCTCATGAATCTGTCCAGTCCTCTTTTAAAGCCATCCAGATTGCTGGCCAGCACCGCTTCCCGTGGTAGTGAATCTCATAGCTAAACTATAAACTGTGCAGAGAAGTACTTCATTTAATCTGTCCGAAACTGCCCACCAATCAGCTTCATGGGATGCCCCCCCCATTTCAAGTGTTACAGGAGAGGGAGAAAAACATCTCCCTCTCTACTTTCTCCACGTAGCACATTAAACACCTCTCTCATGTTTCCCCTTCCTCACCTTTTTGTCTAAGCTGAACACCTTGAACAGGAGCACACCTGGAAGGACTCCCAACAATTGGCTAGTGAGGAGACACTGCAATTTGCTGCTTTTCCTTGCACTACTCCAAAAAGGAATTGCAGTTTTCCAGGCAGACTTCTCCAAAAGAGAACCAGTGCAGGTGCCAACAGCAAAGCAATTACTGGGTAGTTGAGGGACTATTTGAATATGAGGTTTAGAGCAATGGTGCAGGCTTCTTGCACTAGGGCCCCTCCTGAAGCCCCTCGCCTTGGGATTTCCTCCCACCTCCCTCACCCTATTGAGGGTCCATTCATACCGAAATATTTAGCCAAAAGGTAGTGAAAGAGAGCCTGACTTGTGGTCAGAACTTGCCTTGCTTTTCTTAAGGGAACCCTGAATTTGCCTTGATGAACCCTAGAAAACTATGTCCAGTACATAGGATTACACTCGTGAAAGTGGAGGCTAGCAGGTTTAATCTGGAGCTGCATGGCTAGAAGTTTGAAGAGAAAATAAATCAGAAGGCCGATTACTGGGCAGTGGAGTGAGTGGGGATGCACTTCAGTATTTTAACATGATTGGTGTCTTAGACTCCCCTGCAGGCAAGCAACTGTCTCTTAGCTTTGTGTTCCCATTTGTGAAGTGGGCTCATATCTCACAGTTTTGCTTCACTGCAGCCCTGATAAACTTGCAAAGTACTTCAAGCCGTATGCATGCTTGGTCAGGAAAGCAAAGGATGCTTTCTAACACAGGCTGGAATGGAACAGGTGCTTTTTATCATCCAGAATCCTGTGTCGGAGAGCCTCTACATTTGTGCCCTAAAACATCTGATTTCTCTCTAAAGCATGTGCATCTGGACAGAAGCTATGGGATGTCCCAGTATCTCCTCCAAGCCAGCCTGGCTCCGGAAAACTGCAGTGGGAACCGCAGTGCCAGTACCAATTGCGCCACCTTCAGGACGGCGCTAGAATAGCGGCTCTCCTTCCACCCAGACTGGAAGGTCATTGGATTTCAACAGGGTAAGATGTTTATAGCCATACCAAGTAGATTATAATATTGCCATGGTGGACTTTGCCTTTGCTCCTGAGTATTTAAATTGCCATTGTAGCTTTTTGCACTGTTTAGTAACAGAAAACATCACAGCACAAAACATTCTGTTACTTTTGTGCGTGGTTATCTTGATCTACACTTGTGGTGTCAAAACATCTGCCTCCAGGCTTATCTTTACACATTCTGACCTTCTCGGTGGAGAAGGTTTATTTTATATTTTTGACCTTCTTATGTTTCTCTGCTAGAAACCTAAATAACTAGCCCATGTTGTTTGGTCTTTGGGAAGAACATATATTCATTTTTTATCCTAGCCCATCTCTGGGGGTTTTGGGGGGATTAAATGGGTAGGGCATGGGGGAGAAGGATGCATGCCATCCAGAACTCCTTAGAGGAAGGCACTCAATCAATCAGTTTTACATCTTTCTTCCAACAAGTCAAGGCAAGCACACAGGGGATTCAGTCTTTTTTCAAGCTTCCAGAAAAACTTATGTGATTAAACCTGGCCTAAAGCCCACCTAAGTGTTCTGTTTGAATGTACAGCATTGGGATCTTTAGGCTATGACCCTACATCCATTTACCTTGGAGTAAGTACATCTTGAAGGACATGGGTGGTGTAGTGGGTTAAACTGCTGAGCCATTGAGCTTGTTGATCAAAAGGTTGGCAGTTCAAATCCACGCAATGAAGAAAGCTGCATAATAAAAGCCATACCTGTTCTTCCCTGCAGAGGAAGGCAGGAAGTACTCCAACAGAGTGAAGCTCAGGGAACCAAGGCTCAATTTAGATGCCAGGAAGTACTTCCTGACAGTTAGGAGCCCGAGGGTGTGGAATGGGCTTCCACGGGAGGTTGTGGAGGCCCCATTGGTGAGGGTGTTTAAGGATAGGCTGGACGTGCACATGGTGGCATGTCGTGAGCAGAGCTGGCTGGAGCTGGGGATCAGACTAGATGGCCCAGGAGATCCCTTCTGACTTGCTTTGTTTCTGTGTTTCTATAAAAAGAGGATTGTTATTCCGGTGGACTGAATTCTATTCAGTTCTGGTACTCAAACCAAATTGCTGAGCTCAGAATGCTTTAATTCCAAGTGTCCATCTTTTGTAACACGTACCTCTTGAGGTTTTAGTGAAAAACAGAGTATATTCTGTAAGTTTGAAGTATGACCACCAGAGATGTACGGAATTGCACTGTGACACTATTTTGACATTGAGAATTAAAGCAATCTGAACAGTTAAATGAAATAGTTTAATTAGATCAAAATGCTTTGCCTCATTTATTTAATCACAGAATTTGAAAATTTTACTCAGATTTTTTTAAATTCCAGCTGCTACCAGATATACTACTTGTCCAGAAAAATTAGATGGGATTTAGTAGAGATTCAGTGGTTGCCAGTGCTCTCTTTCCCCTCATCTTCCACTTTTTAATTTATTTTACAAAATAGAAAATATTTGTAACATGACCACCTTTCCTTCCAGTCTGCCACATACATATTTCAACCATTTTGGCATGATTCAATTCTCCAGTCATAACACACCATTCTTAATTATCAAAGCTGTCCATTTTGACCATCTGCAAGAAAAATTCCAGCCATTCCCTTTGAGTCTCAAATTCCCCCCCAGTAACCAACAAGTATTTGACGAAAGTTCCTGTCTCCATTAGGTTGCTCTTCTCATGCACTCTGTGACTGGCATAAAACTGAAATTGGACAAGATCCAGCATCTGCCTTCCACATGTGACCATTAACCAATCCCTGCTTAACCTGTGGTCTCTTTTAGGGTGGTGCAGTGGTTATTTAATAGTTGCCAAGATTGCAGGATATGACACAGCCTAAGCAGGGTTCACATGTCCATGGGCACCATGGCTCCCTGTTGGTTAAATAAGACACAACAGGCCACAGTGTGTCATCTGAACCCTGGCTCTGTCTAGCATTTTCAGTGTGCCATGGGTAGAAGTGGGTGAGGAACTGCACTTCTGCTAGTGCAGTTGATCCAGGGTAAATCTGGATCCAGCCCCCTGTAACAAAAACGTCACTCCTTGTCTCCAGGTGTGAGGTCCGGCCAGGACCCGAATTCCTCACCCGGTCGTATATGTTCTATGCCAACCGCCTCTTCAAAGCCTATCAGTTCTACTACCGTGACCCTTCTTGCCAGGATCCCACCTACTCTCTGGTCATCAAAGGCAAAATTAGGCTCCGGCAAGCCTCCTGGATCACACGGGGGGCCACTGAAGCGGATTACCATCTTCACAAAGTCGGCATTGTCTTCCATAGCCAGAGGGCCATGCAAGAAACGGTGGCTCGCATCAACCGGACTTCAGGAGAGCGCTGCCGTGGGTTTGTGCCGGCCGGGCGGACTTGGGCTCCCGGTGCCCTGTATGAGCTTCTGAGTGCTAAAGTGGAACAGGATTGCACCCCAGGCCTTGGATTTGCTATGCATGAACTTAGCCTCGTACGAGTGGAGAAGTTCCACCAGGCAGCGCTGCTCCAGAATAACCAGGGGAGCCGAGAAGTGGAAGAGCTCTATCTTGGGGACATCCACACTGAGTGGTCGGAAAGACGCCATTATCGGCCAACGGGTTATCAGCGCCCCCTGCAGAGCGCCATGGTAAGAGTTCTCCTTGTGTAGAATCATGGCCTGTTTGCAGTGGCTTGCTCAGATGCACTGCCAGGCAAAAGAGCATTTGTCAGGAAAGCTCCAACTTGACAGGAACTGATCTGTGTCTTCAGGATAATCTGTTTCAGTCTAGAGGGGCTCATGCTGCTTCAGAATGCATATTTGTGCATAAAAGACTCTTTGCCATTGTTGGCATGCAAGGCTAGCATGCTGGGCAGAGGTGGGACCATATTGCCCTGGAAGAGCCGGGCTTTGCAAACAGGGCAGCGAAACAAAGCAGTTGTGCACTCAAGGTGCACCATTCCCTGAGGAACATGGGCGGGTGATGCTGTTGTGCTCCTGCCCTGTCTGTGGGGTCCTGTAGGCAACTGGCTGTCCATAGTGGAGGACTAGAGGGACCCTTGGTCTGGCCCAGCAGCTCTCATCTTATATTCTTAAGCAGTGGCAAGGCAGCATCTCCTGATTGTTCCAAAAGAGCAACAAAAGAGAAAGGGAAGCAAATTGCCGCTAAATAGTTAGTGCATTTTTAAATCAGCAACCTATTTGGACGTAAGTGGGAGAGCAGTGTGTAAAGTGCATAAGGTATAAAGCCATGGCACAGATGCCCTGTAAAATAGCTAATCTGTAGCATCCCGAGAAAGAGAAGAAAGGAGACTGGGAGCAGTTTTATAGATAAGCCCTTCTTCCAGACCCTGGGGAATTGGAGTGGAATTACCTTTAAGCTAAGACACTGCAGTTAGACAGATCGTGAGCCTGAAGCAAAACCCATTTGCTAAATGTCTCTCCAAAATAAAGTATGGTTGGTGTATAACACGTCTACCCTCTCCGGTGAGCTGAATGTAGAAAAAAGTTCCCCATAACCAAGTGAAGCAGCAGAGTTTAGCAGAAATGTTATCAGTAACTGAACATTTACAATGCAGAGGTTTTAAGTGAGAAGTGGATATGATTATTATCTTATGCTTCTCTTTTGGTGGGTCCTACTGAAGTTCATTTTCAAAGAAAAAGAGGAGCAGCAAGGAAAATCCAATAACTGTTATCCCTCAGTGGAATACCATTACCAGAGGAAATAGCCCTGAATGTAATTATCAGCCAAGGATATACAGAAACCTAACTTTCAGTGCAGCCGAAATGTGATTATGCGGCAGGTCCTGGTTTCTTGTTTGCTTTTGTCAGGAGCTTGGTTTCTTTCCCAGAGTGTGTTTTTATCAAAATCATAACTAATCAATTTTGGACTGTGATCGAGCTGCAAGATAGGCTTGTGAACAATAGCAGAAAAATGCTCATGACCATTACCAGATGGAGAGGAAAATGAAATTGGGGTAAGGGGAGGGACAAGGTAGGAGGAAAAAAATTCACTAACACAACAATGCAATAACTGGGATTCTAGCAAGGAAAAGAGAAAAAACATGTTGCAACTAATAGGTTTGGATGGGCATTAAAGTCAAGAGTTATCTTAGGCCAAAACCATATATATGTGAGCTAAAGCAGATGCTAAACATGAATGCTTTGTAAAATTAATTTAAAACCACACTGAGGTGTGCTGAAGTACAGTGACTTCACTACAATGCTGCAGTTAATCAGCTCACAGTTCTACATGGCCTGTTACCAGTGGATGAAGTCAGTGCCTGGGAAAAATTAGACACTGTGACTGGATCCTTTGCAAGGGCTCCATTTAGCAGAGAGAAAGTTGGGGCTAAGGATTTGGCTCCATTTCATAGTTGGCCGTTCCTTCTGGTTGCCACCAGTCTCTGGGCAAGGACTGTTGCTCAGAAGCAAAGCACATCATTTTGGGTGCAGATTCCAATCCTGACCACTCCGGGACGGCTGAAATCCTGGAAGCCACTGCCAGTCAATGTAGGCAGCTATCACCAAGGGTCAGCTTATGTCCCCCCACCCCATATTTCCTTGAATCTGCTCGCATGCACAGAGAACTCAGTTCAGACTTAGATGTCTCAGTTCATGGCAGGCTCTGGAGAACGTCAGTAACAGCATAAGTCCATGGGGGCTTGGAACTTGCTTAAGACCCCCCTCCCCAAAAAAGTCATCACTCAGTTGGAAGATCATGTGCTTTGCAGCCCGCCTTCAGTTCCTGACATCCCTACTTCAACACACACATGGGCAGCTGAGCTGGGAAAGAGCCACGCTTTTGCTGCCAGTGCAAATACGGACTGCCAGGAGCAATGGACTCATGGTCTGGTTGGTCAGAGGCTGCTGTTGGGAAAGCTGGTTCTGCACTTAGCCCTGTTTACGCGCACGCTCCCGCAGCACCACTAGAGCTGGACCGGGAGTACAGGGTAATCCCTTTGCAAGCTGCAACAGTGTACGGCTGAAGGACAGCCCTCGGCTCTGACGGGGCCCTCACTGGCTGTGTGCGTGCCCCAAGCACCCAATTTCCTGCTGTTCGAGATGAGCAAATACAAATATTTTAGGGCCATGGGCTGCATGCCGGTACTGCAGTCCTTTCTGCAGGCAGAATAGGGAGAGGCAGCCCCTTCCCCCAAAGGCACCTTGCCTGCGGCTTCCCTAAAACCTGGTGGCGTCTCTGGCACTCGCACAGAAAGCCGTCAGACCTACAGCCTAGAGATAGATGAGTGATGAACCCACTGGGTTGCACTGTGGGATGTGGATGGGAGCCAGGCGGGAGACGCTCCCTTCTGCCCCCCTCTAGATAAAATGACCTCTTTGATTTCCCCCATATCTGTGTCTGCTTTAAAGAGAAACCACTCTGGGGAAATTACCTCCTATTATTAAAGCATTTCCTGCTTTTAAAGAACGTGCTTATTTCAGTAACTGCTGGGAGTATTTAGCTATAATGTGCTGTGTACCATCAACACTCGCTGGAGCGACAGTTGCGGTAAGGAGAGTTGAGCATAGATGAATTACTGCAGACTTCAGTGGCATACATGTAAATTGCTTGCCGGACTGTTTAACTACAGAGTTACTTAAATCTTATTCCCATACAAACACAGCTGGCGTCTTTCAAAATCGACCATACGTAGCAATCCTGACTTATGAAAACAGATCCCGTTCACTGTAAATTGTATGTGGTCCACACACATGCCCTAATTAGTGCGGGAATAACTGTTTAACGCTGACCAGAAACCTTTGGGGTGACTTATTCAAATACATGATCAGTTACATCCCCCTGTGCATGTCAGCTGAAAATATGTGCATTTCTTTCACATCAGTGAAACTAGCTCCTCATAGTGGGGTAGAGGGGAAATTACTTTTATAATCTGGCTTCCATATACCACTAAGCAAACTACAGCATTTTGATTTCAAAATTTCCTCTACATTGTAGAACACTGATCCATACTTTCATTTCAGTGTTCTAGATACTAAAAATCTGTGTATTCCCCCCCCCCCCACCAAGTCACTCCCGTTGAATTTCTAAATACTAAAACTTATCAGGGTTTCAGGTAAAAGTGGCTGGATCATACCTTCCAGTAAAGAATCAGGGTAGCATGGACTTTTGAAGCATTTCAGTTCTTTGGCAAAACAAGCACAAGATCTTTCGAATGTAGCCTGTTGCATTGTTTTGAATCCTGAAAACATTACTTAGCCTTCTTCCTAGCACGTTTCTAGACCTCATGTTTTGCTTTGGGGTAGTGGGTCAACATGTTATTAATTTAGCGTAGAATGCAGGCGGATAAAATCAAGCATGCTCATCTCTGTGCAGATGGCACTTTGCTTCCCAGTGGTATCATGGTCTTTTGTCCACTATCAAAATATTTATTCCCCTGCCCTGCCCTGCCCTGCCCTGCCTTCCAAACTTGCTCTTTTTTGTAGAGTGTACTTTCCCTTGAGGAAAACTACATTGCTTAGTAAATATATAGGAAAGGCCTTGCTTAGACTTTGCCTTCTTCTTTCTTTCTTCCAACAGCACCATGTCCACCCTTGCCCTGCCTGTGGGATTATATACAGAGGCGACGAGCATCACCCACCCATATTACTGGCCAGGCCTGAGCTCCCCATGTGGCTGAGCGGCCGCTGGGTCAGCTCTCGGTGTGAGGTCCGCCCAGCAGTGCTTTTCCTCACGAGGTATTTCACTTTCCACGGCAACAACCGCAGCTGGGAGGGCTACTACTACCACTACTCGGACCCTCTCTGCAAGCAGCCCACCTTCACCGTGTATGCCTCGGGCCACTACACGGAGGGGGCGCCCTCCGTTGTCGTGAAGGGAGGCACCGAGCTGGTCTTCAGGGTGACCCACGCCCGGGTGACGCCCATGGATCAGGCGACGGCGGTGATGCTGAACTCCTCTGAGGCCGGGAGCTGTGGGGAGGCCGGCGCTTGGAGCATCGGGCGGGAGCTGGACGTCACCCACACGAACGGCTGCGCGGCTCTGGGCATCAGGCTGCCCCACACGGAGTACGAACTCTTCCGAATCGAACGGGATGCCAAAGACCGCAGCTTGCTGTACATCGGCGAGAGACCGACGGATGGGTCGAGCCCCAACACACCTGGCAAGAGGCCCACCTCGTATCAGTCTCCTCTCTTCCAGTGCGGGATGCCCTCAGCAGTTGCAGCAGGACACAGCCAGCCCAGTTACCTGGGAAGATTAGGGGCTGACCTTAACAGTGGCGCTCCGAAGACGCTCTCCAGAGCCTCTGCCCTGGCCTTTCTAGTTGTGCAGCTTCTCAGATGGGACTGAACACGGATGCTCATGTGCCAGTGGGTTGCACAGAGTCCAGCCAGCCCTTCCTTAGTGTTAAGACCTTCGTTTGTTCATACCACAATGAGCCTATCTGGAAGCAGTTGCAAACTTCACACTCGAGTTTCCTGAGGTGAAACCCTTCCCTTCATGCCCAAGTATGGACACGGACAACGGAGCTGACGTTTTTTTTATTGCCGATGTAAAAGTCATCAGGTGACTTAAGTTGTACTAAACGTACAATTATGTGTAGATCTGAAAGTCCTTTCTGCAAGTCTACTCCCACACAAAAAAGTATAGAGAAGTAATCGTGCTTTCACAGGACTGTTTTGTTTTGAAATCACTTTGAATTGATATTGCAGGTGCTATTTACAAAATGTAACCGTTTTTATTAAGTGCTGTCAAGTAATCTCTGACCTAGGAAAGAAAGCCTTCCAGAATGGCCTGTCCTTCAGTCATGCTCAGCTCTTGCAATCTCAGGGCTGTGGCTTCCTTTATGGAATTAATCTATCTCATCATTGGTCCTCCTCCTGCCTTTCCCTAGCCTGATAGTCTTCTCCAGGAAGGCTTGCCTTCACATGATGTGTCCAAAGTATGACAGCCTCAGCTTTGTCCTTCTTGCTTCCAGAAAAAGTTTGGTCTTGATTTGAGGTATGACCCATCTTTCTGCCAGTCCTGGGTATTCACAAAGCTCTCCTCTAATACCATGTTTCCCATGCATCCATCTTCTTCCTGCCAGCTCCCTTCACTGTCCAGCTTTCACACCCATACTTGGTGATGGGGAATACAATAGTTTGGATTATCTTGGCCTTGGTCTCCAGTGAAACATCCTTAACACTTGATGTTCTTTTCTAATTCCATCATTACTGACCTTCCAAATCTCTTTCTTCAAATTTCTTGGCTTTGTATGCAAAACCTTTTACAGTTTCAGTTTCTCCATATGCTGACATTATAGTTCTGTAAATCTTCTGCAGTTATGTAGCTAAAAACTTTAAAAGAACCCAGTTGTTGGAATTAGCTTGGCTTCTAGCTCAGAGACAAATGTCACATGAGAGGAAATACTCTTTTATTAAAATTGTCATCCTGGGCCTAGGATAGAGGGCCTGATCAGACAGCTGGAGTAGATGGTTTATTATCATTTTTTTACTTCATTGCCTTTATATCCTGTTTTCCTTCCTCTTGCAAGGAACTCAAGGTGGCGTACAAGGGCCTCCTCCTTTCCATATATCCTCCCAACAGCCCCCCTTGTAAGTTAGGCACCATCTTTTAAAGTGAAAGCAGTTAAGATTCTAGTCTTTAGTGTTATGCATAAACTTGGAAAGGCAATAGCAAAGAAAGAAATCTTTCAAAACCTCATCTTGTGCAAGCATTACACACCTGTTATTAATAATGTAGAAGAACCCACTGAGACTCAAAATGCTTGCTTATTGTTTACCTAGAAATGGAAAACAATGTATGGTTGTCAAGAAGGCCATAATTTTTGGTGAAAGTCACAAATTGCACAGGTTTGAATGATGCTTTGTGTAGATAATAAACTCTAAGGAAGGCACAGTTATGCTTTCTGTCACCAGCACAATCCTGATAAAGACTCCCTGTCCCATGCTACAGATAATAGAAGAAGGACCCATTTGTGTCAAAGGAATCTTTCTTTCTACAGCTAGCCATAGTGAGGGGTTGGGAGGAGCATCGTGCAGGAGGAAATAAACTTCCCTTGCACTGCCGTTCTGATAAAGATTGGCATTTGTATATGTAGTCTTGGCCTCGCTGCAGTTACACAGTAAAATTTAACAATGTGCTTAGGTCCTGACTTATTCCACTTGATCATCCTAGTACCTGCAAGGGAAAGGAGACATATATTGGTAAACAAAGAAGATGCTCAGAAGGGCATTTGTTTACAACATCCGCCAGCTGTCTCCCACTGCACTGAGAAAAATACCCATTATGAGTTTTTTGGCATCATTCGTCTTTCTTAAACAGTCAACAAAGCGACATTCAGTTGAGTTAACTGAAATACACAGCTTCTGGCAATAGCCAAAAAGCTCCAGTTATTTCACAGAGTCTGATCAAAATGTCAATTTAGCAGCTATTCTTCATGGCTGTAGCATCCCTATGTAAGTCACAGTACTCAATGGAGTAGTTTTTATTCTTTTTGGCAACAGGGAACTGCACGTTGGAAAACTTAAGGGTGAACCCTGACAATCTAAGATAACTCAGGATGATGTAGATGGAATAGTATAATGTAAAAGCCACAGTCTTGTTTCTAGCTGTAAAAAAAAGCAGCTTTCTACCTTAATCACTTTGCAAGTGCTGGTCCTCTCCAAACTGCTCAAACTATTTTTTTATAGCCAGCTATGCAACTCTCATAAATTACATGCTATATATTTACAAGGTTGTGGCTAACATGTAGATAAAATTGATGGGTTTTTATAAAAGTGCTGGGGCACAACTGCTTTAACAGATTCAGATGCAATACTTATATTAATGTACAATTTTAAAACACCAAATGTATCATAGCATGCAACTTTTTACAGAGAAAACTCTTAAAGTCATGTACATAAAACAGTTGCTCATCTTCTAAAATGGCTACCTTTTTTTTAGTAGGCACTGGCATAATTGCAGAATTCTTTCCTTTTGCTTGTCAGCAGCAGGACAGTATTTTAAGTATCTGCAGCATCCACCACTCAGGTCTGGTGCTTGGGAGCAGCACCAGGATGTAGAGGTGTTGAGCTTAGAGAGACAATGTACCAGGCTGGTTTTATCAGCAGGGATCTGAGATCACCTGCCACCATCTCGGATTCCCTGTCCTCTTTGAGCTTAGCCGCAGACCTTACAGTAACTGTCGGGAAAGCACTGTGCCCAGCGACAGTAATTGTAATAAAGGAATGTTAAGCTGGTTTGGTCTTGGATGGGCAGTGAATACTGTTCCTATGTGCAGAAGTTTTGCTCCTGGAAGAGGTGAAGCTGAATGATACACCTGTGACAAATGTCTCACAGGATACGGGGAAACATTGCTTACGGCCTTCTTACCTATCCCCAGCGGGGCCAGAACAAGTACAATACAGGAACAATTGAGGCCTAGCCTCATGGCATTTATTCCAGAGATGAAACACAAACAATTCAGACCTCTCTGCCCTGCAGACAAAAAACATGGTTACAAAACAGAGTATGGCCTTTGCTTGGAATTGGAGTGGCTCATTTTTAAAAGGGATTATTTCCTGTGCTTTAAGGCCTGATCCAGCAATTCAGGCTTTTTCCACATGGTCATTTATTTTGACTCCTCAGTGTTTTAAAATTTAAACAAAACTTTTAATCAAAGCAATGTCTAGCCCTAGACATCCTGACACCCGTAACGACAAAAACATTTTGGTAGTACAGAACAACCACAAACAATTAGTTCATCCTGTCTGTTCATCTTCTCTGTAAACAGGCAAAAGATGCATGCAATTAGTTCTTCCTATTTATTTTGCCTAAAATAAATGCTATTTCTTTTGGCTTATTTTTCTTTCTGAAATAAATAAATAAACGACACAGGGGTTTGAAGCTTGAACCACGGAACTGGTCCATGAACCAATCCAACTTAGAAAAAATAAAATTCATAAAGTAGAATACTAATTAAATAGAAAATACACATTTCTTAATAAAGTGGAAACTTGTAAAACCTCACATGATCCCATATGGTGATAGAGATGCCAAGAGCTGTCTGCAGTTGGATGGCAAAGCTCATGAGTAAACACATTTTTTAAAAAAGACTTGATGCAAGAAAATTCTTGCCTTTTAAGAAGCGTTATAGGAGGAATTTCTGCTGGGTACGCATTCCTTACTCTTCCACTACCAATGTGTATTTCATAGGGAAGCAGCAGTTGGATGGGAATACAAGCACTGCTTTCCTTTCCTTTCCCCATTAGGTTTATCTTCCTGCCTATCCCAATACTAGCATGTCAGACTCATGCCTAAATTGGTGTATTGGTGGAAATCTCACAGCTCCATTCAGAGCCCTGGGTGTAGGTTCACCATCGCTAAGGTCTACCATGTCTGCATACCACAGCTCTACGTGCCCAGGTTGCCGTTGCTGTGGAATGAAAAAGGAACAACATGCATGGGTCACACTTGAAGCGGAACTGAGAATGCCTAACTTGGACACTGACAAAATTGTCACCCCTGGCAAGTAACAAATTCAAACAGCTATAAATCAAGCCAGAGCAGAAATTATTCTTGATAACTAACTAATGAATGCAACCAAGCCAATTTTACTCACTTTGATACAAAACACTTTGCCTCCCTTTACACATTCAGGTTGGAATAATCAAGGCCTCTCCAGGAGCACACGGGTTGCCACCCTTCTTAAGTCGTCTCCACGCTGCTCATGTACACCTGCCCTGTAAAGCTTAGGAGAACACTTTCCTGTGCGTTCATCTCAAAGACATTTTTACATCTCACAGCCTCATGTCGTGTCGTGGATCTGTAGAACACCTCACCCCATGAAGCTATTGTAATGTTTCGATGGCGCCACGTGGCATATTGGCATGTTAAACACCCCATGAAACCAAGATGGAAACTAAAGGTTGCAGGTAGCAGCTCCAGAGGGATTTCAGCAGTGATGCTGCTATAGGATTTAAGGACCAACTGACTTCCTCCATCCATAGCCAGGAGAATTACAGAAGCCAATCCCATGTATAGCATGCCTTCTCCAAACAGATAAATGCTCATGGGTTAGAGCAGGGTAGGCAATATTGCTCCTTGGCCATTTTGGCGTTGTGTTCCCCAGCAGCTGATGCACTTGTGGCAGCCATCTTTGCAACTTCAAGCATTGTACCAAAGTAGCAGGAAAACAAGGCATGTGGGAAGCATGTGGGGTGCCTGATCTCAAAGCAGAATCCCACTACTGGATGTAATTCTGTGCCATGTTCCTATGTACCTTGTTTCCCTGGTAAATCGGGTTGATTTTTGCTGCCTCTGTAGCAAACATGTTGGTTACAAGTTCAGGGTGGGGCACAGCCCCCCCCCCCCGAACTTCACATGTTGCCCAGTTCTAGCTAAAAAAAGAAAGCTAGGAGGATTCTTAATAAAAGGATGCAACTGAAGGCACATTTTATGCATCGTTTGGATGAGAAAATGCACACAACTCCCAGCATGACCCAGCAAATAATGTTCTAGACAAGCATAGGATTACACCCTGAATGTCTTGTTTTGTGCCGAAGCTCATATCATGACAAGTAATCAAAACACAAATGAACCTCATTAACTTGGGGGGTAGATTTATTTGATTTTTTAAAGATGCTACATAGTCAAACAGGATTGGTCTTTTTAACAGCATAGAACTAATTCCTACTAATTTTTCCCCTACATAGACTTATTTTATATACAAAAACAGTTTCCTGACCGCTGCTTTCCCCCAATGTTTAGATGATCGGAACGGAGAATTATGTGGTGCCCAAAGCATTAGGAGGCAGAAGAATCCATCACCACGACAGCAATAAAAAGAAAAATGTAGTTCTATTCACCCACTTTGAACAGGTGCCTTTTTCCTTCCTTTTTTAACCATTTATAGCAGTAATCAAATTTCCATGACAATAAAAGAAAACCATGAGATGAAATACATTAAATAAGTTAAATATGCATTAAACATCTGGATATAAGAGTTTAACTCAGCTACATGAACCAACAGCAATGGTTGCTTGGTCCCCTTTTAGACAAACACGGCATTGACCCTCATTCCATACAACCTGACACACAAGACGACTGTCCAGCGGTACTTGTCTATCTTGCAGTGGAGCTGCACTCCGTTTCCTTGAGCTTTCCGTTGCTTAACTATCCTGACGCCAGCTGTGGAAGCCAATGTGAGACATCCTAACATTGCCTGAACCAATCCTCCCACACATACGATAACTAGGCAACTTAGAGTTGGGTCTACACCCAGAGGTTCCTTCATGTACAAGTCCCTGGATTCTTTTATTTTTCAGTATGGGTTGCAGTCCAAGAGGCACTGCCTTTCTCAATATGATTTCCATTCAGAAGTCACCACTAAGCAGCTGATGGGCAAATGGAAACCATCGTCTCCCTCTCAAACCGGCCACTGAGGACAGAGAGAGAACATGGCTGAAACTGAACTAAGTTGTGCTACGAAGTGGGAATCCAAATGAGCTCTGTTCACCCTCGAGTTCACAAGGCTAAATCCCTGATGGCCTTTTGACTGGTTCAGGACAGAAACCTGATCTTGAAAAGCTTCATACGAAGGCAGCAGCTAAAGAGGGAAATGAGGTTGTGCAACAGATGACGCGCATGCACGCACACGCGAATGCAATGCAGTGTGAGCCCAAGCCTGTAGGAGTTTGTGGGTGCAAGTCTCACTGGAGGACATGGAAGGCTGGGGGTAGGAAAAAGATGTGATGGATGCAGACATAAACACATGGTCCCCATGAACATACTGCCAAATGGATTGGAACACAAGACGGACAGAAGGAAACTGACTGGACTATGAACAGGGGGGGAGGGTCAGGGTGTTCAGCACAAAGTCCTTCCTACGAAGCCTGAAGAAATGGAAATCATACACCCAGGTCAACTCCAAGCATGCTGGTGCAATGTTGACTGAGCAGGCTATGTTTCCAAACGATGACAAGCAATTCGTTCCCGTCACTGTCAGCCAGATGGAGCAAACAAGCTCACAGGTGACCTCACCTGTCTTAGCATGGTTCCAAAATTCCAAAGGTTTTGATCACACCATTCCATGCACAGAACGGCTGGGACCAGCGGCAGAAACACCATCTATTCAACAGCCCTGGCGCTGCTGGCTCCCTTATGGATCATGGACATGGCTCCAAGCCCATTTCTTTTCCCCTTGGAGCCCCTATCTACCACAGTCCCACAGTTGGGGTTCGTAAGATGTAGGGTCATGTTTCTAGCATTCAGAATGAACTGAACTGCTGCTTGGGGAGTTACACTGCTGAGATTCTGAGGCCTAAGTCACACCCACTGGACAGAACTGTTAAATTTATGGGGAGAAATAGTGGGTTATCCTATTTTACAGAGAACCACTGCCCTAGCCTGCATAAGCCAACCTCTAAGTAGCCAGAAGGATGAACTTCAATGGGCGGTGTTTTTTTCCACCAAAGAAAAGAAGTCCATTAATAAGTACTAAGGTCCAAAAAATGTTTAAAGTTACTTTTTTTAAACAATGCACCATTTTAGTGTTACATACATGATTTCTTCCCAATTGTTCACAAATAAGGTAATTTCTCTCTTTCTTCTTGCTTGCTCCTCATTCATTTTAAACTTTCTAGAAGATTATGTTATGTTAATGTTATATTTGTGCAGGGGTAAAAATTTAAAAGGCAAGACCTGTGAGATGTCATACATTTTTTAAACATTTGTTATGAATAAATTTAATCCAATGATATGGCAGATCCGTCAATCCAATTTACAATCCTTGGCATGCTGCCTCTACAAGGCGATTTTCCCTATAATTACGCCAACAATAAAGAACAAAACCACCAGCGCGAGTAGTCTAGTGCTCAGCCCTTCTTCCTTCACAGCCGCTGCTGAAGCAAAGGTTGGGTGGTTTGTCTGGGGTGCCTTCCTCATCCGCAGTCCATCTTCTTCCTGCAGCAAACATAACTTGAATTTGTTTTGCAGAAGAGCATCCCATCTTGCAATAAGCTGATGTGTTTCTTAATTAGTTCAGGCTGGAGTTAGTTGGGCTGAATCAATTTGGTCTTATCAATTTGAAGAGAGATCAAGCACTCCCCTTCAATGCAGGAATTCTGGTTACTGTGCTTACCTTAAGGATAAACAGGACAAGTACTGAATGCTCATCCTTCTTAGAGTGGGCCCAGTCAAAGTTAATTCAGTGGGTCAACACTAAGTAGGACTGCCACAGGATACTACTCAGTCCTGGTAAAACCCAGAATGCACTGAGCAGGAACCTTAATCAACTCTAAACTCTTGCAGTGCCAGTGCCCACATAAGGTCTGGGGACAAACGGCTCATTCCCCATAACTGCAGAAGGAATTACTGGGTTCCTTTTCAGTCTTGCTTTATGCTGCAATGGAGACAGCCTCGATGGATGACCAACACTAGGAGTTAGATAGAAGCAGCAAGTCCCTGTTGGTGCTAGTAGCCCTCTATTTATACCTTTGATCATGATGACCGTGGCTAGGATGGGACTTGGAAGCATCTTGGGTTGCGGTGGTTCTGGTCCTATTTGGCTGAGCATTCCCAGAAAGTATTAGTAGGGATTTATGGCTTGGCTCACTGGCCTTTGAAGCTACTCGGAGCTCTGTTTTGTGCATCATGCCTCTAAGATATAAATGAAGTCCCTGGAGGAGGCCATCCAGAGTTGAAGGTTGACCCATTCTATTGTATTCATGTTTTTATTGCAGATTAAGCAGGTATTGTGTGAAAAGGAATTTGAAAAATATTTTTTAAAGAATTTGGGCCATTTGGAAGTGATGGGGGGCAGCAGCATATAATTGATTTGTCTATCCTTCGACAGCTTAAAACAAATCAGCAATATTATACCTGCACCTGGCCTTGTAAAGCTGATGCCAAGAGGGCCATTCCTAGACTCTTGAACAGTAGCCACACACACATATATGAGCTGCTATCTCTATCTGAGTGGCACTGATTATCACACGGGCTGGCTTTCTACGTGTCACCATTTCGTAGAACAGTCTCTTGCTTTTCACAGTCAAAAGGCTCTCAAGAGGGGCTAACCTTGATCTAAGTAACAGCAGCAGATAAATAAGTCCCTCTAATCTAGGCGTGTTGAGCCGATTTCAGGCAAGGGCTGAACTCCACTTTGGACATGGTCTAGGGGACAATGTTGCAGTGGTGGGCGGGGACAAGAATAACAGCATATTTTAGTTTGGTGCCAATAATTAAGCTTTAGGGGAGACACTGAAAAAAAAATCACACAGCAGACAGGAAACTGCCCAATGTTTGATGATCAAGGGGGGTGGGGGTGGCCAGTTATAGAACTCCAGAGGTCTACATTTGGCCCCCATCCTGAAGTTCTGCACCTCTGTTTAAATAAGAACACCCAACTCACTTCCAAAAGATGGGGGTGCCAAAAGGAAGACTTCTGAGAAAGGCCTTGATATTTGTGATTTATCATGCAACTGAGAGCTCCCCAGAGACACCTTCATGAACCTGTCATTCACTTGTCATTAAATGGTGAATAGAATCATACCTGCGTCAGAAAGCTTACAAACTCATACATGTAGACTTTACCTTAAATTGCTTATTCTCCTCTCGTAACCTCTGCACTTCTATCTGAAGCCTCTTGCATTCTTCCATTACTTTCTTAACTTCAGTGTCATCCAAAGAAGAACTTAATGATTTTGACATTACAGAAGATTCTGTCTTTGTTGCAGCTGTGGATATAATTTTATTTATTTCTACATCATGCTGTTGAGGAAAGAAGAAAAGAGGAGAAACTGTATTTATGCAAGGTAGAAACCTGTGTGCTCCTACTATATTTATATCACTCACTCCAGCTCAGCACAATTTAGAAGTCATACTTTTCTCAAGTGCTGTGTTTAAAGGCTAAATAACACATTTTAATGCTGCAATAAAACAGTAAAAAGACCAACAGAGCAATAAAGCAACTTTTAAAGGAGCCAGTCTCTAAAATCTGAGCAAAATTAAAATGTCTGAGGCAGCAGAAAGTGAGAGATGTATTTCTGAATAGCAAAAATGACAGCCCAGAGCATGGTTCTTCAAACTATGGCCCGAAGGCTGGATCCGGCCTGCCATGCCCATTTATTCGACCTGCCATAGCTAGCCACGTGGCTTGCTCGCAAGGAGATCATTTTGGGCTCGCTCAGAGTCCGGCACCTTGCGACTTGCTTGCAAGGATATCATTTTCTCCGAGCGAGTCCAAAACGATCTTGCGAGCAAGCTGGTGCCTCGCCCTGTGCATGGCAAGGCGCCAGCTTGCTTGCAAGGAGATCGTTTTGGACTTGCTTGGAGAAAACCATCTCTGCATGCGCATGCCCCTGCCTGCTGTGCACTCCCCCCTGACCCGCACCGCCTTGGCGGCCCACGCACATCACTGGCACCTTTCAACTGGCCCCTTGTTCAAAAAGTTTGAGGACCCCTGGTCTAGAGTCACAACCGATGCGAAGGCTTTTTTCTATATGCAATGATTCATACCACACTGAGAAGCAGCATGGTATAGCGGTTAGAGTATCAGACCGGGTTGCAGTCCACAACTCAGGCCATGAAACTTACAGGGTGACTTTGGACCAGTCTCTGACTCTCAGACTAACCTACCTCACAGGGTTGCTGTGAGGATAAAATTGAGAAGAGGGCCCTGTAAACCACCTTTGGTTCCTTGCAAGAATTAAAAAGGTGGGATATAAATACAGGCACAAATGCATAAAAATAAATGAATATTTCCACACCGGTGGGATGCTGAAATACCCTTCCCAATAAATCATGAGTACTCAAACTTCTCCTTGTGCAGAAGCAGGTGGCCCCTTACGTATTTTAGGTTCAAGAAATCTAGGTTTTTAAGGGGAATCTTCTGGCTTGTCCCCAGGAACTTACTGGAAGCCAAGGCAGCTGTTGTAAAAGGCTGTCAAGCACCATCTGATTAATCTGAAACAGCCAGGAAAGTCTACCTCATCACCAGCCAAGTTATCCAACTCTTCCAAACTTTAGAAAGTTCATTGTAGCTACAGGCCAGATGTTAAAAATGTAAATGGAATAGAAACACAGATCCAAGTTCGGCTATGGGCAGCCTCGAACTCCAGTTTTGGGAAGAAAATCTTTCCAACTCATGGATGCAATAAGTCTGCTATAGTAACCTAAAGAATGTTCACCTGCAGCCAACCTTGCTTCTATCTAAATCCACAGCTGCTGCTAAAAATTTAAGCAAAAAAAGAGCAACAGGCTTGTAAGCAAGACTGAAATCCATTAGTGTTCATTTCTGTTCCAAAAAGGGAAAGCTGCTAGTGGGCTACTACACAGCTCAGAAACACCCACTGCCCGTTAGCAGCATAATGAAAGCTACAATGCATGGAATACCTAGCTGGGTACCAGCAGAGTGGCTTCATGAATTGGCTTTTCCCTCTGGTTTGGCCCATTCCCCATGCAAGACTTGGACATCCACATGATGGGCATGTTGTGAGCGAAGCCTGCTGGTGCCGGAGGTCAGACTAGATGGCCCGGGAGACCCCTTCTGACTCGCTCTGTTTTTATGTTTCTATATGTTTCTAAGTAAGGGGAACAGAAAGATGCTTCTAAGCAGCATGACATCACAGGCCCCAACGCTTTGGGGTAAATTCTGCAAAGACCTATGCTGCAGTTGACTGGGAAGGAAATGGTTTTATGGGTAGAGGAAGAAATTGCAAGTGGCAATCTACTTCCAATACATGGAAGTAGGAGAAAAGAACGGTATAGACACAAAGAACGTGACAGAGGTAGCTGAAGGTACAGAAAGGAAAAGGCCCTGAGCATCACTTTCTTTTACAGGCTAGTGCTCGTATTGGGCCATGAATCCAGCACCAAGGCCACAAGAGTTCGGTAATGATTCAAATTGTTGATGGCTAGGACAGAGCTGAAAGTCCCTGAAATATTTTCTAATTTAGCACACTTTGCTTCCACCCAGACACCCACTCACAGAAACGACAGGGAAATAACCATCAGACCTTACAGCAAGGCAGTCCTTGATCCTGGAGCTAAAGGGAGGGAGTTGGCTTCGAGCAGACTGCAGATGACGCAAGTGTTTGCAACCATTAAGCTAGGCCTAAAGGTTTGGCAGAAACTCCAGGGGCAGTCTGACTCTAGTCCAGGAATGAGTTGGTGTAATAACTGCTTCTGTGTTAAAAATGCAGGAAGGAACAGCAAAGGAAGAGCCAATCTTCAGATCAATTTAAGGACATGCTCCTTAATTGCACCAATCCTTCGTGAAGAGAACGCCTTCTCTATAAAATCTCTGGAGGTGCCCTACACACCCTTCCGCTGGAACATTCTATTTTTTGTCCTTGAAACTGAGTCACAACATCATTAATAGCTAAGATTAAGAGGGTATTTGCTTGTATTTGCTGCAAGTCTCATATCATTAAATATTTAGGGGTAAAAAATAACTCTGGAAATTATTGGCTATAGTATTCCAGCATGTTCCACCCTGCAGATGTTGTGGGACTGGAATTTCCATCGTCACTCACTATTCGCTATGCTATGTCTGATAGGAATTGCAGTCCAACAACAAATGTAGGGCTGTATGTTCTTGAAAATAGGGGCAGGGGCCTCTTTTTTCTTAAGTGTGGTTCTTAAACACAGAACAGCATGTTTTTTCTTTTTGTACAGTTTTAAAGTACTCAAGTTTATAAGAGCCAAGCAGGGTTGTCAAGAACATCTTGGAGGGTATTCATTCATAGGGTCACCGTAAGTCAGAGATGGCTTGGCAGCATGTAACAACAAAAAACTAAGCCATTTGAAGGAGTTCTATTTGCTTTTTTCCCTTTCCAGCTCCAGCAATGGCAAAAGCAGCACAACTTGCCAAACCTTCTTGAACTGGCAATTCTAATCTGTTGCTGTTACTGTTGCTATGACATAGTTCCATTTGATCCACACAACAACCCTGCCATGTTGGTTAGGCTAAGAGCGAGTACCTGGCCCAAAGTCACCCATGGGCAAGTGGGGACTAGAACACAGATTTCCCAAGTCGCCAGTCCAACACTTTAACCACCACCCCACACCTGGCTCTTACGAAGTTAAGCTAATTTTTTAAAAGTTCAAATACAGCAAAATGGAGAAACAATGGTGTTTGTAGTGCTCACTGAAACCCTAAGACAACGGGCCAATGGTCAGCACATGCAAAACAAACAAACAAACAAACAAACCATATTGGAGCAAAGGTGTTGTGACTTTCATTACCACCATTTCGAAACAAGCGAAAGATGGACATTTAGAGAACTTGTAGCTAACCTCAGAATCCAAGCTTTTATTTATTAGAAGCAGCTGTTTTATGAATTACACATAAACATAATTACACTCACGGGTTTTTCATTTTCTGCCGGCAGCTCAAATACACATCTAAGTTTTGAATCCATGAGTTCTTCTGGTTTTGCTTCTTTCCACTAAAACACACAGAATTGAAAGTAAAAAGATGAGCTGGTGGCAGATGTCACCAATGTATATCTATGCATTCCAGGAAATAGGGCCTGTTTCAGAGCATCCTAGAAAGTCCTCAAGTGCATTTCACTGGAGCCAAGAAGAAACTTTAAGGAATTTGCTCACCTGGGCAAGAGTGGTGCCACTAACTGCAAGGATGCTGAGTGGCCAGCTTACCTTCCTGGGCAGTTGTACAGTAATCCCTGACACTCCCCAACCCCAAGCTTGAGAAGAAGGCTGAGGACTGTTTGGCAGCTGCATGGCCAAGGCTCTTCAGCAGACCTGTAGTCCCAAAGCAGGAGGAGGCAGTGGGGCAGGGGAGGAGAGGACCGGATACTGATAGTGGAAGGTATGCAGGCCGAGCACTTGCTCCATGTTGCTCCTTCCCTTTGCCAGCGCCAATAGAGACAGAGAGCAGCTTGCTTACAGAGCAAGGGCCATCTGCTTCTTGCACCAATGATTTTTGGCCTGCCAAATATTGTAGACCTTCTGACCCAGAAGAGCATCTATTTTTCAGGCACATGTTAACACATATTCACACACTGTACTCAGTCCCATGGGCAGAAGATGCAGGACTAATCACACTGGTTAGTTCTGTTTATGTAACCGTTTGTTTCCTGTAAGGTGAACTATGCCAAAGAATAAAAATGCAGTGGGTCAAGTCAGCACTTCCACCCAACATGTAGCATGTAATGTGCCCCAACTGCAGTTCAGATACTGTAAACAGCACGGCTGGTTGCACCAGCAGAGGCTAAAACATTTTACAAATGCAAGCCACTGGCATTAAACATCATTCTCCAGGACTAGCATGCATGCACCATCCTCTAGGCAGAAAGCACACAGCTAAGAATAGGCATTACAAACCATTTCAGTTCTTAACGGTGTACACATGGTTTGCCAGGCCAATGACAAAGCTCTTCTAGAGCAATCTTCCCTAACCTGGCAGCCTCCAAATATACTAGACCACATCTCAAATCATTCATGGGCACATTGCTTAGGGACAATGGGTGCTGGAGTCTAATATATTTAGAAAGTGTTGAATGAAGAGAAGGCTGATCTTGATTCAAATTAACTTTTCCACTCCCAAATCCCACCCAATTCTAAGGGGCTCCAATTTGTTTATTATAGTTCATAATGAACAACACTCATTTGAACCTCATTGTCAGGGTCATCAATTTAGAGCAGGAAGAGTGAAATGTATTTCAGAGTCACTGAATACGTTCGACAACAGGGTCAAACAAGCATGCTGTTATGGAAGTGAGCCACAGGATTGGTGCCATGTCGGAAAGACTAAGCTGGACTTCCACAGTGGGCGTAACAGTAGGCTGTAAGAGTTTTTTGAAAGTAGGGAAAACATTAACACGTGTGTTGTGCAAACCTAGCACAGTTTCAATATTATAATTACAAGCACAAAGAGTTCCAGATATTTCACATTAAGAACTTTTAAAAAGCCTATCTGCATGGTCTGTCAGCCTTGTTTCATAAGACAACTAAGCAAATGTACAACTTTTCAACAGAAGACTGGGTTCTATGAACCTTGAGATGCTGGCACTCTTGCCAAGAGTTCTAGTCTAACGTATCAGCACTGTCTATATAAATTCTTTGGGAATGCTGCCTACCTGCCCTTTATATACAAAAATGTCTTTTTTACAGCCTATGTCCTTTAGTCAAATACGCTTGCTTCAAAAAGACATGTTAAATAATATTTGACAATTACAAAAGCACATCACATTCTTTCATAAGATTTTTTAAAAAAATACTTACTACTGCTTCCATGTCTGAAGTATCAGGGGGTGCAAACATTGACTGAACCATGAACTTGTGTTTACTTTTCTCATTAGGGTCATAGTCAAAAGGTTGTAGCATCACTGAAAAGAGAAAACATTGCTGCATGAGTGCACCAGCATTTGCTGCCATATCTACATCTTTACTTGCTCCTACAGCAGTTCCGACAGCATCAATCACTGCAAGGAGGCCAGAAACACCAAGTCATTTTGTTGGGAAGCTTAATCTGAATTTGGCAAATGAAGTGTTTGAGCTTTTCATACTCATAAAGCTAAACAGCCATGAAGTCTTGTGAAATGCATTGATAACTACTGAATGGAAGAAACTGTATTTTAAATTTCAGTTATATTGTGTAGGAACATTTCGTTACTTGCACAATTTGACTAAACAGCACCTAATGTGATAGATGCCTTCCTCAATTAAAAAAATCATTTATCTGGAAAGTTTAGAAGCTTTATGAGTTCTTTGCCAAAGAAGTTGTTGGAAGGGATCCCAATTATAATTCTCAGGAACTACTTCAATATTGGTGATTATGCTAGTATCACAAGCCAGTTTAGAATTCTGCACCAGTACAAGAGGGCAAATTGATGCTTTTGTACTAAGCGGAGCCCCACACTGGTACAATGGGGAAAATGTGTGGTAGCATGAACTATTTAACATGGATACAAATGAAAACCAAATTTTTGCTTGGAAATGTTTGTTTTATGTAGTTATGTATGAAAATTTTAACAAAAGTGGCATGCAATGGGTAAAAACACATAAATGCAGTAAAAACATGTTAAAACACTGAAACCATTATTCACTGTTCAACAGACCAAATCAAGAGATTATCTTAACTCTTCTCAGAAAAGGAGAAAGCTTTTCAGCCAGGCTTAGCAGAAAAAAATCCACATTTGGAATTGTGGAAAGAATGCTATGTGTGTCCACCAAATGGGCTTCTGCAAAGTGTGTGTGTGTGGAGGGAGGGAGGGAGGGAGGAGGGAGATATCTCAGAAAGGTCTCTCCTGTTTTAAGTCAAATGGGTGGTGCGGATTTTCCAGAAAATTTTTCAGCACAAATCTAGTTTGTTTCCATAGGAAAATATCTGAATATGCTGGAACACTAGTGGGCAAAGTGTGGAACTCCAGATGTTTTTCCTACAATTCCCATCATCCTTCAGTATTGATTAGCCTAGAACTGATGGGAACCATTGCCTAAGCATTTTGAAGGCTACAAACTGACCTACTACAGAGTACATTTATGTTATTTGTATTTAGTAAACATCAAAACTAAAAGTGTGCCCATGCTGGGTTTTTTTCTTTTTCCCTCAATACGTAACAAGAATTTGACCTGAAATATGGCGGAGGGAGAATTAACAGACACTTAATGTGAGAAAAAATTATGTTAAAATGTCTACTGGAATACTTGTAAAAATTTAAGGGCAAAAGCATGGCCTTTCTTTCATTTTTAAAATTTAAAGGAAACAGCAATACAATTCTTATTCTGAAAAGTACTGAAAGCTGTTGGTATGCTAAGACATGTTATGGCAAACCAAAGAACTCTGCACGAGGCACTGAAAATGGCTCATATGTTTCAACAGAGTTCAGCTCTCTTCCTCTGAGTTTGTAGCATCAATGTTGCTATCATTACCTATCAGATCTATTTCAGATTTAGACTTGAATACATTTCACTGACTTATGTATCTCTTACATACTTGCTAGGAATAACCACCCAAAAAATTTTAATTACAACTCTGAAATTGTCAGCTTTGTCTACTATTTTATTTGTAACAGTCATATATTCATTTTGACTAATTTACTTATGAAATGCGTAAATGCAAAAGAAATCACTGGGGAAAATGTCGGGGGCCCTTCCACACTTGTAAGAAATTGACCTAAATTGCAACATTTCACATGGTCTGCATTTCAGCTGATTTATTCATTAAAATACTCATTTCTAGTTGCAAGTTTTCACAGATGACCTTAGCTCATGGCTTGTATGTCTTCAGTGCCCAATAAAATTATCTGCCTCTCTTCAAAATATCCAGTGTCTTGTTAGAATTAAACTTACACTGGCCTGATTTATTTATTTTTGTTATTTTGCTTAGGGCCTGGCCAATGTAAAATGTTTTAAGGCAGTCACAGCTGTCAATAAATTGATTCTTTCACAGCCTTCACCCTCTGTTCCTAAAATTTCAGACACTTGGTAAGCAATGGCTGAGGAATCCTGCATTGCTAATGTCCAAGGTGGAAACAGAAAAGGCTTTAAAGTCTGCAAATACAGTATCTGTCATGGTTTTCTATAGAAGCTTACAATTTTGCATTGTGAAAATTATATGCAGTAATGTCGCAACAGATAGGGGTGAGGCGAGGCACAACCAAAGCTCTGCAGAGAATAAAGCTGGGCTTGTGCTAGTGTGTGAAGGGAGCATACAGACGGACTAAGCCGTTGCTAATAGCAACAGGCTAATTTCTAGTACAGCAAAGGTGAACTACTGAGAAGCTAATTCCTTCAGCCAAAAATGTTTAAAGAATTCAGGACACTCTGTCTATTCAAACCTGCAACAAGGATGCTGCAATCATACATCTAAGCCTTGCCTGCAAAAAATTTATTGGTCAAGAAACATGCAGAGGGCAGTATGCTTTCTGCAGAACTAATACAACAGCTCACTTATTAGTTTTTACATGACAGTCACATGTACGCGAACTGGCAGACACATCTGGATGCTCACTCAACTCCTGTGCTAATTGCCCTGTTTCTCCCTGCTGCTTATGTAGTGGCAAAATACAGGAGACCTCCATGGCATAGGAAAGGGAATAGATGCAGGCCCGATGGGAATCTTGGTAGGGAGGAAGAACTGAAAAGAAAATTGCTAAAGCACCACTGCTGTCAGACAGTTCCAGTTTCAAGAAATGGAGTATTCATTTCCACCCACCTGAAGGCACCTTAGAAAAACCTTTTCCCAAGCTGGTGCTCTTCAGATGTGCTGGGACTGCAACTCCCATCAGTCCCATCCAGCATGGCCAAGCCATGGAAGGATCCAAGACCATTTACATGGTTGTTGACCTTCTCTCTTATTTTATCCTCTCAACAACTACCTGTCACTGGTCAAATGGGGACCAGAATTGGTCAAATGGGGTACTAGAATCAGATCTCCCAGGTTCTAACCCAACACTTTCAAGCACTATGTCACACTCCCTTTCCAGGTTGCAGGAGGCTGCCTTAGAACATATAAAGCTGCTGTATGCAGAGACATGCAACTGATCCCTTTCGATCAGCATCTCCAACCATGACTGGCAGGGCTCTCCAGAGTCTTGGGGAGGACTACGATCTTTCCCAGCAACTACTACTTGATTCTTCAAACTGCAGGTGCTGGTGGCTGAGCCATGGACTCCCTGCTATCTTCCTGATATGGAAAGCAGGAGCCATGCCTCATTTGTTCTGCAACTGGGGAAGCTGAGGTAGAGCTCAGGACTTGCAAGATGCACGAGGCTTCAGCTCCTTTAAGAGGCTGGAGGATGAAGCACATGATCCAAAAACCGCACTCTAGCATCGTTAGCAAAGGTGCAGATGACTCTGGAATGTCACTGACAGGGCTGAGGAATTGCAGCCATTCTCCTGAGCTACCTTGGGTAGTTCCTGGTCCACCTTGAGGTCAGCAGACAACAAAAAGTCAAGATGACTCGTCATGGGCCACCAAAAGACCAATGCAATGCTGTCACAATTTGTTAGCTGTAGTGAGTGACCGCTTAAGGTTCCCAGGAATTGGCAGATTTACAAGGCAGAGGATTAATGTTCCAACTTTTATTTTAACACTCCCAGGCTACCTAATCATTGCTCAAAAATGCAAAACAAATGCAAACGACATACATGCATAAAAATAAAACACAACAAAAACACCAACGCAAGCCAGAGCAACAGAGCCAACAAGGCCCTTAAGCAGCCTTGAACCAGGAGCACAACCCCTGAACCACCAAGTGCAAGAAGCAACAACCACTCCTATATATGTGTCAAGCAGGAAAGGTCCATATATCAAGGTAACTGAAGCGCTCTTGGGTACTTCACTCCATGCATTAACATCAATGTATGCAAATGGCTTAGGACCACATGTGGGAGGGTGTGTTGCACTCATGAGAAAGGTCATATGCTACTATTCCTGACAGCGATATGCCGCCTCCATTGCCAGAGGCTGTGTATTTACGTATACCACCTCTAGGAAGCACGGGCAGGAAGGAGCTGCTGCTTGTGGGTATCCCAAGGGCAGCTGGCTGGCCACTGTGTGAACTGAATGTGGACTCCCGGCCAGATCTGGGACTCTTGCGCACTTATCCGAAAACTCGCTCTTCGAGGCATTTGCCGGGAACCAGGCTGTCCACATCTTAGACTATAGATAATCCCAAGGTTAGCAACAGAACAAAAGACAACCCTGGAGAAAAATCCTTAAACGCATGAGGACTGAGCTAACTTTTAGGGGTTAATGGAACAGAGCTTCCTGGAAGAGGACAGCGCAGGCTGGAGCAGATGCATTCCACCCTGCAACATGTTGCTGCGGGTCCCACTCCCTTTATTCTGAAACCCACTTCTTCCTTTCCGACCCCAGGAGGCAAAAGACCCCACTTCCTTTCTCCCTTTTAAAGGATCTGTGGATTGTGTGGTGCCCCCAATGGTCTTTGTATCTTCTTCGTGTTTCAAATCCCTTCCTCCCTTCTTCCTGACACAGAAGTCCTGTAAAATTCACGGCAGGCCAAGCAGCTCTGCTCATTTCCTCCTCATGCACATTTTCTGTCGAATACCTGCAAGACTCCATTGCATCAGGGGAGACAATTATAGCAAGAGCAGTACAGTGAAACACTGTGAAAGGGGGAAAGGGCTGAGTTAAGCAATTCTGTAACAAATCACAAGAGCAGGCAGAGATGTGCTGACAGTGCTGTAAAACACACACCAGCAATTTCTTAAGGAACTGATGTGTGCGCGTGCAAAGGACTTCAAGGAAAGAAATGTTCTCTTTTGTGTTCAAGTAAGGACAGCTTTACTGGGGCAAGAAAAGGGAGCTAACCATGAGCTGCACTTTCAATCAGTCATCTGAATTCATTCCTTTATTTCTGATGTTTTAAAACCATAGCAGTGCTAAAGAAACCGGATAGCTGCTGCCCCCTTAGAGCAGCCAGATGTGCTCCAGATGTTTTGTCCCAACTGGCATAGCTAATGAGAATGGGAGCTGCATGCCAAACATCTGGGGAACACTGGTGAACACTGACAGAGAAGATGCAAACTAGGAGATCACTCATATGCACAAGAACCCAAGTGGGTCTTGTTTTCTGTTTATTTGTTTTCTGTTTATTAAGTTCCTGTTTATTAAAAGTTCCTGTTTATTAAGACTAAGGGTCAAATTAATCCTTTGCCTAACCATGATGCATAGTGGAACTATGAAACTATAGTGGAATAATGCATGCTTGTTTTCCCTGCTTTCTGCAGCCCCCAATTTGGATCAGGATCATGTTGCTTTAGGAGAGGATTGTTTAAACATACCTACTATCCCTTCTTCCCCTGATATTCCCTCTCCTGGAGTGGGTGATGTAAAGAGAGGAAAACAACTCCACCTCCACTGATTTTCAGGTATGTGCTTCTTACATTAGGCTTAAGCCATAATTAACTGTTATATGAGCAGTGTCCTGGCTGTTCTTCCCCTCCTTCCAAGCTGACCAGGACAAAGTCCTTCTAATCAAAAAAACTTTATTGTGTTAAAACTGATCAGCTGGGATGGCTTTGCAGTGCAAGAAAATATTGCAGAACTTAACTGAAACAAACAAAGTAAGAACACTGTCCATCAGGAAAATGGGGCCTGCTGGTAAGAAGCTGATTCCAAACTAAATTCCCTTCCTCCTCCAAACTGCAAAGAACAAACCATGCCTTCAGGGTGGGTCCCATTTCACAGTTAAATACATGGAACATCTGAGGTTTCACAACAGGTCTGCCCTCTTAATCTGACACTGTATCCTCAGATCAATCATGTTGGATCTGCCCTATCCCACTAGTACAAGTATGCTCATTAAATTTTCCCACAGAACTTTGCAGCTGCCTGATTCTCAGTGACTGCTTGGCTTCTCTCTGGGTTCACTGGACTTGGCATTTCAGCTGTGGATTCTGACCCCACTCTGCATCCAACCCAGAATCTGATTATACAAGATTTAAAAGCATTTTTATTTTTATTTTTTTAAAGTGAGCCCAGTACGTACAAGTGGTAAGGCTAACTATGCTTGGACCTGGCCAAGGTTCACATTTTAACTCTGCATCTGAAGCAGCTTGTGCCCTTTCTTTTTCCACTATAAAGCAACTGGCAGAGGTACATCTACAAAAGAACTGCTGTAAATTAAGAATCTCACTGCAAATGCATTTCTAGGGCTGAATGCTTACTAAAAATAGGAAAACCCTAGGAGTTGGCCTTTACTATCACCTTTATGGCAATATGCAATAGGTATTTACCCTCTGCAAATTGTGCTAAAATATCCAAGACTATGGAGATTCTGCCCATCCCATTTCTGCCCTAAATCTGTTTAATGAGGCAATGTCAAGAGGCATTCTTGGTAGCTTCCCTATTTATGAAATTCTTTCCACCTGGTATCTCTCCAAAGTCCCAGCTACCTCCTACGGTGTTGTAAACAAAGAAACCAACAAACCAGGGCGCTTCCTAGTGACTGTGATTCAGCTGAAAGAAAGGTGAAGGGAGTAGGTGGAACTCTGAAATACCTGATACTCCAGAGATGCATTTGAGAGATCAAGAAATGATTTATCATTCCACGTTCATCATATGGTTTTAGCTATGAGTCCTTGGGGTTGGTAGTGCAGGGCAGCAGTAAACAAGTATTAATTAAAGTATGCTTTATAGAAAGCTGTGCAAGAAATAAAGACCATGTGCTACATGCTCAGAAAAGGGACAGAAATAAGCTCTTTAAAGGTACAGCATGTGTGTGAGAATATGGAGGGCATAAAGCAGAATTAAACTAGTGAACACCAGCAGATGGAAATGGTCACACTGTGTTCAAACAGCACGGTAGCTCATTGCTCAGCTGCAATTGTATTACCATTCCATCTCCTCTTTACTTTAGCTCTGTAAATGGGTGCTTGTGTATTAGTGACAAATTCAGCATATCACAACGTTCCAAAAAACACCAAAGACACGTACAAGCATTTGTTGAACACAGACAAATTTGGATTCAAAGATACCCTCAATTTTCACTTGTGGCAAAATTAAAGGTTTCCACATGAAACTTATTAAGAGAGGAGTGACATTCTGGTTTTGTAGACCCTCAATCTTCTTCCATATCTCCATGGGCAACTGAAGGACCAGTTCGGGAACAGAAAAACACGAATGTAATACTTAAAAGTCTTTCTCACTGAGGAGGGCAATAGAACAAAAGAATTCTTCCCCATACTATTAGTGCCCAAGATAACTTTATTTGGTAAGAGATGTTGTGCTCCACTGCTTCCCACCCCACTAACTGGTGACACCAGACATGCTATTGTCACATAAATTTCCTGTTCTACTCCAGGCTTCTAAGAGAGATTATAATCTCTCATTTGCACTGTGATTCCAGAAAGGTACAGTTCTGCAAACAACACTGTAACTTCACACCACAAATAAGAGCTTCAGGGGAGGAAGCCTACTTGCCAGGGGCAGTAATTTCGAGAAAAAAGGAACCAAAGGAGTTAGAAAACATGATAGGAAGAGTGCCAAAGCTTCTGAGGTAGAGAGTGAAGCTGCTTCCAATCTAGGTGTGGTGGCAGTCGAAAAGGAACTGAGGAGATGGGTGGGAGCCACTCTCCGTACTTCCCATGGACAGGACGGCGATGGGCTTCTGCCCAAAAAATAAGTGTTTAGCTACAGAAGCTTCTTGAAAATTAGGTTCTGCATGGGTGCAAAGTCCTACGTATGATGCACAGGGACCACGAAGAAGAACCGAGGGTTGGAAACACCACAATAAGTTCCTGGAAGTGGCTTTCTTGCCAAAATTGGTTTACATATGCCCAGCACAGCCATCCACTTGGTTTAAACAAACAATCAAATGAAGCCTTCTAATTTAAAGCAGAAACATTGAACATGGCTGTTCTACCAGTCAATGTCTTCTGCTGATGTAGCTGCATTTGACTGCAGAAAAGGAACACATCTACCTGTATGGGATTTGTGTTAGCAAACCTACATCCATTCTTGGATACAATTATGAAGAAAAATTGAGGAAACCATTTGCAAAACAATGCACATGAGGGTTAGCCCTCAAAATCAGGAGGGAACTGAACCGTCAGTGGCATTCTGCAAACATAATGCTGCTAGAAACATTGGCTGGTGGCTCCAAGGTAAGTCATTCAGTCTAGTCACTCAGGGTCTCAGCTTGAACTTTTAAGGAGTTACCTGTGGTACCAAACTCCCAAATGTAGGTTCAGCACCATAGAGAGCCCCTTAAAAATTCAGACCAAAGCCTGAAGTGGATGCAATGGAACCACAAGCCTCCACTGGCTACAAGTCCAGCAGAGCCTGTGCTGCTGTTTCTTGCATGTTCAGAACCACAAACCAGTCATTAAAGTATTAAACATTCTGAATGAAGTGACTGGGGGAATGGTGAAATCAGAGATGTTTCATGATCCTTGGCCTGCTTTCTTGGAACATATGGGTCAGCTCTGCCTGAGAACTATAGGGGGAGCTATAGCTCAACATGTTTTCCACACTGAAAATGGCAGGCTCAATCGTACCATCTCCAGTTAACAAGGTACAATAGCCAGAGATGAGCACAGACCATGCAGACACTACCAGCAAAAGCAGCAATATCAGAGGTCTTACATCAGGGGTCCTCAAACTTTTTCAACCAGTTCAAAGTTGCTGGCAATGGGCATGGGCCGCCAAGGCAGTGCGGGCGGGGGGCACAGGCCAGATGGGGGGCACACACATGTGCACACGAGGCGAGACGGGGCGTGCATACGCAGGGATCATTTTCTCCAAGCTAGTCCAAAACAATCTCCTTGCGAGCAAGCTGGTGCCTTGTCACGTGTGTGCATGCGCACGCAGTGAGTCCAAATCCTCTATGACGGGCCGAATAAACGGGCATGTTAGTGGGCCAGATCTGGCCAACAGGCCATAGTTTGAGGACCCATGTCTTACATGATTACACAGACTGAGTATGAGGTGTTGTCAAGCCATGGTTTGTTGCTAAAACATGGCTTATTGTGTTTTCTGAACCTGTCTGTGCTGACAAGCCATGACTTGCTTACCATGAAGAAAACCCATGGTTGGCTGTTGCGTTTGTTCCCCATGTTCTGTTATCTCAGCTGGGTTCAGACAACAAGCTACCTCAGCAACAACCTTCTTCAACAACCACCCACACTCAAGTCCTTCAGTGTGGATGATCATGTTGTCTAAACTCAGTCATTAACTCAACCATTATCTTCTACAAATATGACCCTTTGGTAGGCCATGGTACCTCCTTGTTTCAGCATTTTAAAAGGTATTCCTTCTGGATTTCCATATAGCATTTTTGCTCCAGTTATTTCTTCCAAAACAATTTCATTTAAAAAAATGAGATAAACCATGCACAACACAGTTTAAAAGTTTCCCTGTATATTCATTTAATCTAACATCCTGTACTTCTCTATTCAATTTTCTACTATATTTAGAAGCAAAGGTATTTGGAAAAATAAAAGATACAAACACCATGGTGTTGGCTTGTGAAGAACATTGGAATAACTTACCAGAGACATTAATTGACGTTCCTGCATCTATAATCCCACTGTTGGGCCTTACACAGTACCTGCGAGGCGCTGTGGTCTTCACTTTGAAACAGACATTTCTGTCTGTAGGATTGCCAAGTTTCAGATTTGTGGTGACAACGTCTGTGAAGGGACCTGAAAAACAGAACAAGAGCTGCTTCAAAATATTGTCCAGCCATGCAAACATCACAGTTCTCCTACCCAGACAGAAGCATGCAAACTACCCCTGTATTCAGAGAACCCAGAATAGGTCAGACAACATATTGGGCGTTGTCATTATGATGCTCTTATGCCCATGGCTCTGGACACTGTACAGTGGTCTTCCTCAATCGAGTGCCCTTCGGCTGTGATGGCTTACAGTCCCCATCAACCTCAGCCATCACAGCCAATGGCCACAGGTGGATTCTTCCTCCGGCCTTCCCTTTGCTGTTCTGGTTTGCAGGTAATGCTGCATTGTAGATTTATAGTACTGTTTAGGACAGTTCTTTTATTGTTGGTGTCTGTTGTTTTTATGAATTGTTCTTTTATAACGCTATCCATTTTTATGACATGGGATTTTATTGCTGCAAGCTGTATTGGGAGACCTCTTGCTCCGAAAAGCAGCCTTGATATATGTTAAATAAATAAATTTGATGTGGGAGAGCAATGCCAGAAGTTCTGATTCACACCTAATGCTAAACAAATCGCAGACATAAGGTGTGTGGGTGGGTTATCTATACCTGGGTGGGAGAGATGATCACAACTTTTTATATATATTACTGGATTGTTGTTAGGTGCAAATCAGGTCTGCACTCATCCAAACTACTAACTTTCATCAGTCAGTGAGTGGATTTACATGGCATGGCAAGCCATTATGGGAAGCTAGTAGAGTGCAGTGGTTGAGAGCATGGGGCTGGGACACTCCACAGCTCACTCACAAGATGGGCTGCCATGTTGCATGAACTTGCCTAATGCCTTTGCAGTCTCGTCCTCATTCCCTAGTCACAGTGTGGAGTGATATAGGTCTCAATAAATCTACACAGTGTACGTTTCCTGAACACATATATCAGCCCTAGGATACATTTGCTTGCACCAGCCAAAATTACTTCTATAACGGCAAAACAGTTTCAGGGTCATTTTGGGTTGGCACACCATGTGAATGACTCATAGCCTGTCATTGCTAGTGCCACTGCCACCCATTTCCGGTAACCACCAATGTCCCAATCTTGTGCTGTTCTATTATGGTGCTGATGCAGCAAAACGTGCAATAAAGAAATAGCAAAGGGCAGCCCTGTTTACATCAAACATGATGGCTAAGGAATGTGGTGGTCAGAAGAAAGCATGCACAGTTACTGGAAGCAGCACATAATGTATTAGCAATTGGAAGAGGGAAGCTGGGGGTGCAGCAGCCTCCTTGGCGAATCTCAGCAAGCCAGCTGTGTGATCCACGTTTCGCCAACTGAGAAATCCATGCTTGAGCACAGCTGACTTTTCCCTGGCTCTATCCTGCACAGCCCACATTCAATGCCAAGGAAAAGTCCCGAGTGACATGGCATTTGGCAGCATGGCCAGAGCTGTCAACAAGTTCTTCCACAGGGGCATGGTGGTTTAGTCACAGTGCATGCAATATCCGTAGGCAATCACAGCTCACAAATTCAAGATGGAGCTGCCATTGTTCCATCTATTAAATGCTCTCTGGCGCCGCAGCTTCAACATTAAATCTGGTAACAGCCCACCTAGATTTGAGAAATCACCAGGTGTCTTGCTTCCATTTGTGCCATGTTTGAAGTGATTCCAAGAGCAGTAAAGCAAACAAAGCTTGCTACAGCGCCTGCACCCAGCAGGGAACCGCAAACAATCATGACTTCCTGGCAAATGGAATCGATAGGCGATCCATGTTTCAAAACATCTCATCACACTTCCAACTTACATTTTCAGAGCATACATCTTAGAGTTACACCTAAAAAGTTCAAGTAAGACCTGTTGGCTTCTGTAGTGTGAACTGATATGAACCTATGACTCTTCCAAGAGCAGTAAGGATGTGCACTAAAACAACCTAGTAATCATTCCTTGTTAAGAACACCTTTTATAAATTGCTCGCACCCAAAATCAGAAACATGGGAAGCTGCTGAGTCAGGTCCCAGGGTCATCTAATCCAGTGCTGTTGACACCAGTGTTTCAGGCAGGATTTTTTTCTAGTCCTTCCTGGTGATGCTAGGGATCAAACGTGGGCCATCTGCATGCAAAGCACATTCCTCCACCACTTTACTAAAGTGTAATATAGCACTTACTTCACATACACCCTCTGGCCTACACTGCAGCAGAACGAAGTGGTAAGTCACATTTGAAGGGTCTCCTTAAATACATACAGCTAGAAACACAGCATGACAGAAAGTGGGCTCGCTAGAATCACTCCAACTAAGGTGCGAGTCCAGTCTTTTTCAAACCATGTTTCCAGCAATGTTAAAAACTTAACAACAACCCTTCTTAACTGTTCTGTTCACACAGTGGTCAATCAACTTCTTGCGAGAAACCCAAAAGTAGACATGCAGTAACACCCTCCAGTTCCCCACAACTCGAGTATACCGCTGATCCTGGAGGTAGCCAAAAACCTTCATGACTAGTACTCTTTGCTCCATGATGTCTCCAGTCTCTTTTCAAGCCATTCAATGTGTGGCTGTCACTACGTCTTGCACAAGATAGTCCCACAATCTAACTACGCACTGTATGAAGAAGTCTTTCTTTTATCTGTCTTGATCCTGAGTCTCCCCCTAACTAGTCTCATGGGATCAACCCAGGTTCTGGTATTATAAGGCAGAAACGTGTCTCCCTATTTACGTTTGTGACATCATGCGTGGTTTTGTGCACCTCTAACACGTCTCCCCTCATTTGTCTTTTTTCTAACCTTAAACAGGCCTGGATGCTGCAAACCTTTCTCATAAGGGAGTTTCTTCAACCCATTGATCCTGTAAGTTGCCTTTCTTTCCTAACTCCAGAATATTATTCCTTAGGTCTAACAACCAGAATTGCACACAAATTGCTAAGGAAGATGAGGAATCCTGGGGCTCATCAATAGCTTTTTTTGTTTTTGTTTTTTGGTGGTTAGGGAGAGTCTTTTAGAAGGAAATCAAAATACTGGGCAGCATGCACTGACAAACTGCTACTGCTCACTACCCCTCTTGCCTCTTGCAATATGCAGCCACAAGGGGCTGCTGGGTAGGTTCTAGATTATGCATGTGATTTAATACCAGACAGCCAGTCTGGTGGAGCATTTGAGAGGATGGGCCTGGGTCTCAGGTAACCTGGTTCTAGTTCCCACTCAGCCATGGAGCCAACTGGGTGATTTGGGCCAGTTAGACTCTCAGCTCAGTCAATCTCACAGGATTGTTGTGTGGCTATAACTGAGACCAGCAAAGGGGAAATGATGCAGGCCACTCTGAGTTCTTTAGAAGAAAAAAGGTGGGGTGTAAATCTAACAATTCAATAAATAGGAGAAGCCACAGAGTGAAATAAGTTTGTTGATACCGACTGGTCTAGAACTTGCACCAGAATTCTCTGCAATGTGATGGGACTGCATGGCACTCAAGGAGGTGTCCTGCAGTAGACAGACCAAGTGTCATTCATTCCATTTCTAATGCCCAGGCTGGGAATCCTATTGCTTAAGGAGCCTAAGCAACAGTGCATGTAAAAGTGGGATGTATAAGCAGACTTGGGAGAATCCCAAATTTTGCGCAAGTGCAAAACTTAAACTAAAATACAAAAACTTAGGCAGGGGGGTAATCCTGAAAGATAAGCCCACTAAGGACAAACACAAGCTGAGTGTATATATAAAGCTGGAAGACTTTTCAAGGATGGAAACTGAAAACCAGATGGGGAGGAGGAAAATGGAATGGAGTAGTTGGGATCTGAACGGGAGTGTTGCATGCTACAAAAGTTTGCTGCACTTGCAATCTACCTTCCTTGCAGACTGCCCGAAGCCTCCAAGTGAATTCAAGGCTAAGCTAGTGTCTGCCCCCATAATTTCCTGGCTCAGTGCTACTGCTTCTTTACTATGCAAAATCAGAACTTGATTACATTTATGTTCTGCTCCAACAAATGTTTTCTATTGCAGTGTTGGGCATATTAAGTTTCCAGCTTTAAATAGCAGAGTATGCAAGCCCTTGTTAGCACCAATTATAAATAGCCTCTTAGTAAACTATAATATAACCCAGCTTGTAGGAATGTAAAGTTTCTAAATGGGAAGCTGCTATTATGGGAAGAAATGAAAGGTCAGTAGTTAATGACTTCTCTGGTTAAGAGCTGAAGCAAGTTACAGGGGCTAAAATTTCAGGTGTCAGTTCTGACTTCAGGATTATCATCGTCATCATCACTGCATGTACCTTTTTTTCAGAACTATTTTATGCTTATTTAATGTTTTTAAAAGTTCCTTGTTTAGAAGGATCCAGAGCGTTTATGCCATACCACAATATCTTAAGAAATATTAAGATGATAAAATAATTATTCAATGCAGTTCTTTCTACTAGCACTCTAGAGTTTTGGGCAGAACTAACCACTAAAGCATGTTGTGAAAAGCGTCACTGTGTTTGCTAGACATGATTTATGTGCGCAGTGAATTATTTGCCTACAAAGAAAAGAAAATTAAACACTACTTCCCCCTCACTTAAAAAGGTCCTGAATTTTATAACCAGTAATATATTTTATACAATGATTAATAATTGGCTTATGAAACTCAAAGATGAGCACTCAAAGTATACAGCACTTCACATGACCTTCTGAAAAAAATGGATAGATTCAGGTACACAAGTCTATCAGTGGCAATGAGTCATGGTAACTAAACAGAACCTCAGTATTTAGAGAAGGGGTAGGGGCCTCTTTCAGCCCAAGGGCAGGATTTAATGTCTGAGAAGCTCCCAGGGGCTGCATTCTAGTGGTGGTGAGGCACTGCAATTAAAGGGGGCAGGACCGCAAGCTACAGGGAATGGGATGAAAGGGCTAAAGACACCAGCATAATCTCATATTGCCAGTAACTGAGTTTTAAGAGAAGCATTTCAACCTTTCAAGATGAGAAGGGGAGGGCGGGGATACACAAAATGACTAGTGGTGGAAAACAAAGCGAGAGGGCAGGACCAACTGGGAAAGCCCAGAGGAAAAGGCTG